CTCAGTATGTGCGAATGTCCTAGTATAAGTTAGGTTAAAAATATAAACGAAAACGTGGACGTACTCTGTTCTGCTTTAAGCTTTAGCTTTAGCCGCTTTCCTCCCATCTCCGCCATAAAACTTTTCTTCAGAAGTAGATCAGTTTCTCGTAAAATGACTTTTTCAGCGTTCAACTGTTTTCCGAGGCTGAAGTCGCTTCTCATTCTCCAGCTTCTTGTTCAAATTTTCCTGTTCCACCTTAAATTCTGACTGAGACGCCGAATGTAAATGTGGCACCATTTAAGGTGGAATGGGACAATTCGAAAGAGAAGCTGACTTCATCTTCACAACTTTTGTGTTTGACAGTCTCATTGCAGATTTAACTTACCAGGAATCAACTGCGCTGCTTATAAATGCGATTAACGCATTGTTACTAGGTGACCTGCAGTCTGCCAGTTCTCAGTCATTGCGAAACAGGGCTTTCGTGCTATGCTGCACACGTCCCGTTTCGAAGATATTTTACTGACACAGCGGACCCCCCTCTCGTCTCTACAACGAACGAGACCAAAACCAAAAAAGTTATAAAATCACTGAATTAAACGGTAGGACGGCTGTAACAAGTGCTGCGTGGACATCTATTGCGACTGGATCTTATGTCACCCTAACAGCGCATTTTATCGCAGAGGAGTGGCATCAGCGTCTCATGTGCTCCGAACAAGCAGTGAATATGAGCCTTCCAGTTCACTTGCCACATCACTTCCATTTGATTTATTAATAACAGATATTGGAAGTAAATTCATTATAGATCATTACAAATACTTTGCTTTAAAAGTACCAAGTCCTCACACAGTGAGAAAATAGAAATCCTGTATAGAAAAAAAGATGCATCAAGATGCATCGATAATCGTTTTATAATTGCATCGCAGCCCTCTGAATCGTAATCGAATCGTGAGGTGCCTAGAGATTCCCACCCCTAATATGTGTGTGTGTGTGTGTGTGTGTGTGTGTGTATATATATAGTATATTCTTGAATATTACAAAATATACTGTACCGTATACTCAGGGTGGCCCAAGCATAGCCTATGTTTTTGTAATCTTTTTGTATTGCCATAATGATTATGTGCCTTTTTAAGAACTAGGTAGAAAATGTATAGAATTCCATTTTGGGCTCTGGCTCAGAAATGCTGGTTGTAACATAATGGCTGTTCGAACAGAGCTTTAGAAAACGACAGCTGAAAGGATCTTTAGCCTGATGTAGGAGAAAACAGAGCAATACGATCTGAGTGTGGAGAGTGGATTTCTCTGAGTTTTTAATGTGTCTTGTGTGTTCTGTGCACTTGTACTTGTTCATTCTTTCTTTTTTTTTATTTTTCTTTCATTTTTCTTTGTCTTTCTCTTGCTCTCTTATTTCTTTACCTCTCTCTTGTCTTTTTCGTGTTCTGTCTTTCTCTCGCTCTTTTTTTACCTACTTTTTCTTTCTTACTTTCTCGCTCTCTCTCCCTCTCTTTCTCTCGCTATATATTTCTCTCTCCTGTCATTTTTTTCTTTGTCCTTTTTTTTTCTCTCCGTTTTTTTCTCTCTCTCGATGTTTGTCTTCTTTCTGTCACTTTTTCTTTACTCTCTCTCTCTCTCTCTCTCTCTCTCTCTCTCTCTCTCTCTCTCTCTCTCTCTCCTGTTTCACTCAGCTGCTCAGAGCATGTTTTCCTGGAGCCATAGCAGAGGCACTGTGCAGTTTTTCATTGCTGTGTGTGTGTGTGTGTGTTTGTGTAGAGCAGGGTCTGTGCGTAGGCCGGCCTGTTCCTCTCCACCCCTCAGCTCCAGAGCAGGCAGACGGCTTTTCACCCAAATTACAGGAAATTGTCGCGTCTAATGACCTCCCTCTCTGCTTCCACAACAAAGACACGGCCCAGAGCTCACTGTCAACACATGCACGCAAATATATACGCTAGGATGTACAGGACATTTTTCACTTATTGTTTTGGCTTTAATATTACTTGCTGACAGCAGGATTAGATGGTGTGGATTCTAGTTCTCTGGATAACATACATATTTCTAAAAAGGTTAATTGCGTCTTTTAAAGAGGACAGATATGCTGTAATGCATAGACTAACCTACACAAATGAATTAAAATGAACAGTATGGTTATAGTATGCACAAATATAATGCATAAGTAATGAAAAAAGTTAAAAGTTGATTATTTATGACTGAGCCAGCTGTGGTGTAGAATTAGCAGCAACATAGTACAGCAAAACAAGGAGCCGTGTGTACGCAGCTTATGTGGTTTTGTTTTTATCTCAGCACTGTGCAAAACAAAGTCCTCAGGCAGCTGTCCTGTCCAAGCCCGAGAGGCGAAGAAGATGGCTTTATCTTCATCCCTCTGTTTGTCTCCCTCATTATCACCCACCAGAGCACAGTGATTTGTGCTCTTGCTCTTTTGCTCTTACTCCTCTAACTGGGCACATCTCTCCACCATGAACATTCCTGCTAGCCTCTCGCTTGAGCTCTGCTTTAGCGGAGGGCAGTGGGGAGGCAAAACTATGGCCACTTTTAGCTTGAAGAATTTGGATACAGCTTTTTAAGTTCAGTGGTGTCTGTGAATAGAGCTCAGTGTGTATAATGAGGAGCCGTGATAAGGGGCAGCCACCACCATGCAGAGGACACGTTCATTTGGCTATGACTTCTTGAGTGTGCGTGTTATGGTGATGCAGAGGCAGTCCTACTGGCAAGGAGCACTTGGTGCAGCCGTTACAGGCTTTTCTCCTGACGAGAGGCAGACAAAGCCCTCCCTCGGGGCCATGCAGCAGCTAATCTCTTTGTCTCTCTCTCTCTCTCTCTGTCTTTCTCTCTCTCTATCTCATTATCTCTCTGTCTGTCTATGTGTATACACACAGTACTGTATCTAAATGGCCATTAACAACAGGTTAATAATTTTTCAGCGTCAGGAAAAAGCAAGCCTCAATTTTTTTTACTATTTAGTATGTCCACCCTTTGCTTCTGTTCTTTTTGGAAGACCTGTGTTCATTTTTTTTTGAAGGTGTGAAAAAATAGCCCGGCAGATTTCTTCAAAGTTCAGTCTTAGACATTGTTTGCAATTTTTTGCCTCTCACAATCCAAGTAATCCCAAACAGATTCAGTGATGTTGAAGTCTGAGCTCTGGGGTGGCCAGTCCATTGTTCTGAAAACACCGCCGGCTTCTTTATTTGATTTGCAAATGTTCTTCTTTTAGTCTATTTCTTTTTCTCAGTAATGACTTCTTGACAACTACACGTCCTTTCAGACCCATAGGGTCGTGTTGTTTTCTGACAGTGGGGAGCATGTTTTTTTGGATTGGTTTAGTTTTTTCAGATCTAAAGCAAGAGTGGAGCTTGGTAGTGACCATTTTCGTGGTCTCTCTGGTTTTACAGGGTGGTAGGAGTCACATTTTCTCTCTTTTAGGACCAGTTTCCTAGACAGGGATTAAGCCTAGTCCTGGACTGCTCATCATTCAGAAAGGTGATTCTCCATTGAAAGGAAAAATAACAGCCAGTGTATAATGCACTGTTTATTAAAATGTTTATTTTTAAATAAAGGTCCTATTAATCATAGCATTAATGTTTCTTGTATGTGTAAAGCCCACTCGCAGCAACTTATATCATGAAAAAATGGAAACTGATAAAGAGTGGCTTTGAATATGCTTTGCATATGTATGCATATTATTTGTACATATAATGTATGTACACACACACACACACACACACACACATATATATATATATATATATATATATATATATATATATATATATATATATATATATATATATATATATATATACTTATTACACTCCCTCTCTTTTCTCTTTTCTGAGCATCTAGCCTCCTCATGTCTCCTCTCAGGCAGTGTGGGGGAAGCAGGGAGAGTAGTACTGATGGTCTTTCAGGGGTCTCCCCACCTTTCCCACTCACTGTCTGAATGCTGGCAATACAATAGCACAGCTCCATGACTTCACTCAGGCTGATAAACGACTGCCATTACAATTTTTCCCTCTCGCTAACACGCAGACTCGGCCTGGTTATTTGCATGACAGGGAGAGAAGGGCGTCAGGGAGAAAAGGGGTGGGTGAGAGAGAGACAGAGAGAGAGAGAGAGAGAGAGAAAGAGAGAAGCAGAGAAAGAGGGCAAAAGAAAGCAAGCGGCAGGATTAATTTGCAGGGTACAGTTGGGGTGAGAGCAGGCCAGCTGCAGCAGAGATTGCTATCGGCGGAGAGACAGCCAACCCCAGCTTCGTTGGCTCTGTTTATGGAAATAAGGGAAGCCCTTTTCATTGTGCCTTCATCACTCAGCACGATTCTGAGGACATTAAATACATGACTGTGTTCGAAAAGCCCCCTTTTTTCATTTCCCTGGTTACAAAAGGGTTGTTGAGGGCTATGTATATTAATGCACACCTTGGCCTTAATCAAGTGCATTGAACCATTTGATTGAAATCTTAAGTAATATGATCCTTGCTGATTCTGCACATCTATAGATTTGCTTTGTAAAACATACACAGCTTAGATGACCAGTTTGTTTTTGTTAGCTGTTTCCTCCCCATCTCCTGTTGTTATAGCACTTTCAGAAAGCATTGTAGTGGAGTTTTTGTGTAAAAGTCCACTTTGTGTGCGTGCACTGCTTATATTGGAGACCAGCAGGTGCAGAGCAGGACCCAGGTGTTCTGTTGTTTGGGTACCGGTGAGTGTGTTCAGACCACCTACAGACTCGGCTCATGTTTTTGCATCTGATTAATTAAGATTTAATACTGTTGATCTGGACCGTTCTCCAGTGAACTCTGCTGTTTTAGTAGGATTATCCTGCACATAATGAACCACTGGTGCTTAGCTGCCTCTAACCAGCCTTCTCTTTAATAAAGGAGTGAGCTCAAACAAATGATTTCGGGCGTTTTAGTGTTTGTAAAGCCATAGCTTGTTAATGCAGTTTTCTCTCCACAGGGTGTTCAGGATGTTTTTCTTTTAGCATGCTCATCTCTCTGTCTTTCTCTGCAGCTGCTCAGAGTGAGGAGAGAGAGTGTGCATTTAATGACCAGCACCAGCAGTTTGACGAGCAGAGCGTGGCTGGTGATTGGCGTGTGACGCGGGAAAACAACACAATCCTGTGCAGCAAAAGCAGCCGCTGCTATGGCCTCTGGGAGAAAACCCACGACGGGGACATCCGCCTGGTTAAACAAGGTCAGCATATACATGCACACGCTGTTTGTTTTTATTCAAGAACTGACAGTGTTAGCTATGTGCATATATACACTAATGTGAAAAAATTAGGACACACCATTAAATATTTAGTTCTTTATTAAGAAATGTGGATGTATCAATATTTAAACAGTACCTGTAGATACAGGGGATGTAATTGCATCACCTTTGCAAAAACAATGAAAATTTGACTTTGTCATCATTTACGAAAAATAGTAAAAGATGTCCATTTCTACTGGGGGGAAAAGTTAGGACATCATATGCCCTAATAGCTGATATTTTCCCCTTTGACTGAAATAACCTCAGTTAGACGCTTCCTATAACCATCTACCACTCTCTGACATCGACTGGGAGAAAGTTTTTCCCACTCCTTCATGCAGAATTTTTTCAGCTGTGTGATGTTTGAGGGGTTTCTTGCACACACAACCTGTTTCAAATCAGCCCACAGCATCTCAATAGGGTTAAGATCCAGGCTTTGACTTGGCCATTCCAGAACTCTCCATTTCTTTCTTTTGACCCGTTCGTTGGTGGATTTACTGGAATGTTTACCTCCAACTCTCAATATTGTTAAATGAAGATGAAGATTTAATGTTTAAATACGTTAAAAAAGAAAAGGTTTTCATTCCTAATTTTTTCCATGACTCCATACACAAAGCCTTACTAACCATCCTTGTTTCCACGTTTGATTGCAGGCTGCTGGACCTACATTGGAGACCAACAGGATTGCCATGACGACCGTTGCGTGGTGACCACCACACCGTCACAGATCCAGAATGGCACCTACCGTTTCTGCTGCTGCAGTACAAACATGTGCAATGTCAACTTCACAGAGAACTGGGTTCCCAGCCCTACTAGCGCGACCATATGTGAGTCATTACAGTTAACATTAACACTGCTGACTTATCACTCACAGCCACAGAATGCTTCATCTTTAACATCTAGTATTTAAATAATCTCTCACAAACTCCTCAAACATGTCCAACTGGAATGGGTCTCTCAGATACGCTTGGTTGATCTTAACAAGTCTCACTTGGATCTTCTTATTTGATCTTTAATCATTACTCCATTTTAATTTATTGATTTACTTTTGTTGAATCACACAAAAACATCAAAACACATAAAACAGTAGTATCTGAAATTTCACCAGAATGTTCACAACCCACAACAAAAGCTTTTGCAAATTTCTAGAGGACTCATATTGCAGCCTTTTACAATTTGTGTTAAAAAAAAATGCAGTTGATATATTGTATAGCTTTACTGCTGCTCAGTTATTCCTTCACATTTTGTCTTCATTCTGTTTCTCCTTCTGGAAGCACAAGGTGGTTATTTAATGTGTGCATGCATTACAAGCTGCCTCATCGGTTGAGGTGCTGAACAGAAGAATGCTAAGTCAGGCCTCTCGCCACCGCACAAGATTAGTGATGAAAGACTGGCTGGTTTTAGATTTAACTCCAAAAATCCCCTCCTAAAGAAAAATGTGCAGCACATACAGACTCTTATTGTGCCAAGAAGTATTTTAATGGAATTACTTGGCTAAGGTGGATTGTGTGTCTGCTTCAGCATATACAGACCCAGAAATCAGAAATGTGTATGCTGGTTCCAGCATTGTTGTTGTTGTTGATTGGGCAGCACCAACTGCATGTAAGTCACCAAGATGCTCAAGGGGTTCTTGTAGTCATGAAAATCCTGGAAAAGTCATGAAATATAGAAATTCAGTTTTCCAGGCCTGGAGAAGTCATGGAAAATAATAGGCGCTGGAAAAATCATGGAATATCCTGGGTGTTTCGTGTGTGGTTTGTAATCTCATCACATTTGAAGCACTGAAGAGTCTAGATCACAAAAAGCACTCTTTAATGTAGTGAGCAAAATGACAGATGCGTTCTCTAAGGTTGGAGTCTTAAACCTGGTACAGAGATCCGTACGTGGGTCAGATTTCAGTTTCGCTTGCTGTCATTCCATTTAAACTGTATTTTGACGTACTAGTTAATAATATTTATATGTTAAATTAACGTTTAGATAATGTAGGTCTTTTTTTCCTCTCATTACAGCTGTCTGTATGTTAAATTAGTGCTGTGTGGTTACTGAAAATTCAATATCATGGTATTTTCAAACATAGCACAGTATGATGCTGTCAGGTGATATTAACTTTGTTAATGTTAAACTTTAATGAACTCATGCTTCCCGAGTTTCCTTATTTTTATGGATTTAAAGCAAATGAGCATACCATGAGTAAAGTACATGAAATTAAATGGTCCTTATCTATCAAATATATCGCTAAAATATCACTAGGAGTTGGTATGTCAGTATGACGGTATATTGGTATAGATGATATATCGCCCAGCATTATGCTAAATGTTCGGAATGGAAATTTAATTTTATGTCACAGAAAAGTCACAGAATTTCATTGGTTAAGAAGTTTATGAACGCTGTGCTCCGGTGGTCTCTCTGGCTTTTCAGACAGCCATTGTTCATCTTTGTATCATGGGGTTTTTGTGCATGTAAACAGTCAGATGGTCAGAAAGACGAACTTTTAGCTTACCTCTGCTGTTACTCGTCATTGTCATGCACAGGGCGAGAGAACTATAGTTAGCCTTTCAATCCATTGCTCTGGTAACATTAATAGCGGGATTGACTTTATAAAGGCGTGTTGTGATTAGATTAATATTTTCTCTAAATGTGATGAAATTTGGATGCGTAACTTCCAGAAAGAGTTTCTAGAGATCAGCATATCCAACATACTTCCTGCTTGCTTGCTAATCTAGAACTCAGTGGGAGATAAAAAATCCCCTGAAAATATAAGGAGCTGCCCCATATAGAACACAGGTGGACTCAGTACTGCTGCTGCACAGTAAGAAGTTTCTCCATAGATGAAGAAGTGCTGTGTTCCCCCATTCAGCTTTCTCTCTCCTCGATCCTGGATCTGTGTGCGCCTCAGGAAATAAAACCCCTCTCTGCCTTCCCTTTCTCCACTCCCTCCATCAAATCTATCATATTTCTCTCTCTCTCTCTCTCTCTCTCTCTCTCTCTCTCTCTCTCTCTCTCTCTCTCTCTCTCCCTCCCTCCCTCCTTCATCCTATGCTCTCCCTCTGTTTCACTCTCTCTACATGTGCTCGTTTCTCTCTTTCTCTTGCTCGTCCTCTCTCTCTTGCTTGCTTTTCTCTTTTTGTCTTTTGGCTTTCAGAGCAGCTCTATAGAAGCCGTGGCCCTGGTGAAGGAATAGGATTGAGTTATTGCCCAAATGCAGCTGAACAATGCAGTGAAGGAAGAAAAAAATCAATGGCTCTCAGATTCTGTAGCCGTGAGTTATTCGTTTGCAGTTTGGTTTGTGCAGCAGTTGAGAAGTTTGATGACTCCTTGTTCCTTTCTTTTTACACGACTTAAACAACAGCACCGCACTTTCTAATTTGATGGTGAAAAGCTTTTATCTGTGTATTGATTATGAAATTATGATGAAAGAATGCTTCAGCTGAAGTCGGGCTTCGGTGTATATGTTGATGGTTTTTAGTCTTTTGGTGATTAAAAAAATATACATGTTGATGTTCATCTTATACATCTTGATCTTACGTGTTCTTTTTGAAATTTGGTTTAGACCTTGATTTGGACTAAACAGCCCATATTAAATGCACTGGGACTTGGAAGTAAGCAAATCTGTTAAGATAGTTGACACTGGGCAATAATGTATTGTACATTATTATAATACATCAAAGTCATAATGTTTGTGTGGCTGCACACACCATAGGGCAAATGTTGCCTCTGTTTTGGCCTTGTACCAAGCTTAGGGGCCTAAGGAAGGTGAGCTGGGATAGAGGACAGCAGATTAATCAGGGGAAAAAACAACTTTTGTCCATTGGCCATTGTTGTTGGTGTTGCCAGGCAGAATACAGTGGCCTTCATCCTCAAAAGTGGCCTTTGTCCTCATAAGCTACCCTGCTAATTGCCCCACTGTTAACACTTAGGGCTGTTGTGATGGTTAGGTTTAGATGCCTTACTGCCATGATATATGATACTGCTACAACCATTTAGGCAAATGAGAGGACAACTTCACCATGTGATGGTCAGCGAACTACAGGCTCAAATCAGTGTTGGGAAGATTAAGTACTCGGCCACTTGTAGGCTTGTACTTTAATAGTTACATACAATGACCAGAAAAAAAGACAAGTGTTATAACAATTATTACATGGCAATTAATCATCAGCTAAAATTTATTTTAGCTGATGATTAATTGCTGTATAATAATTGTAATATTGTGGCAAAATATAACATTGCAGGCTGTGCCTGGCCTGATCTGGACACACAAACTTGTTACGCTAGTTTGTGATGAAAATGCAACAAGTTCTCTTTACACAGCTGTTATTTTATGCAATGGTACTTTAATGGTATGTTGCAAAAATAAATACATAAAAAATGTGTTTATGGCACTGTTGTCCAACACTATGGTCTGCTCTCCACAGCCTATAGATCCTTCATAGTGCAGATAGTGGTGGCAGATGAAGGGAAAGTGTTGCAGTCATACCCACAACCATCAGCAGCTTGCACCTGTCCCTGCTCTCTCTCATATGGCTTGGCCAGAGCACAGGACTCAATATCAGCAGTCTACAGCACATCCATTTTTAAGTCTAGAGCCTGAGTTTCATGAAGACATTGGTGCTGAAGTGAGAGTGCAGCCTCTGCCCCATGTCTCCTATACACACCCGCAGTGAATGATGTTCTCGCCTGCACAAGGCCTGAATACCTGATAAGCTGTCCAATTAGAGCTTGTCGCTGTAAGCTGTATCACACTGTATAACCCATTAACGTGAAGATATCACCGGATGTGAGCATGTATTTGTGTGAGAGACAGAAGAGAACTGTATCAGGTATTTTTTCTACATGTGCAGGTAATTTTAGCCTGTTCATTTATTTAGTGAATGAAATCCAGTTTGTGAATCTATGCTTGGCCCTCGCTTGCTTAGCGTACATTTCCATTTACCCTGAGAGTAGAACCATGACTCATTTGTTTTTCTGCTTCAATTTGCAGCAGATTTATTGTGCTGATGTGCTCAAAAAACCTCTCCCGTGAACAACTCAGGCACAAAGAAGTGCTCAGCAAACGTGAACACCGGCACCACTGAACGCAATGTGATGGTTAACAATATGACAAGCGGCAGCCGCAGCAGGGCTTCCCCTATACAGTGGCAAGGAGAGGTGCTAAGTGCCTCTCATCGGGGTGGGGTGGCGGGTGGGAGCGCAGCTTTTTCCCCCGAAGGTCAGGCAGTAATTCAACTATGAAACTTAGCAGATGTCACATACCGTTTAAGTAAAAGGTCAAAGGAGAACTGGAGAGATGCAGTGGTTCACTTGAGGAAAAACAGTGAAACAATCACAGTAATGTTATTCAGTAGAGCTGTAATGATACATGTTTTCAGGTTTGATATGATTTTTGATTCTGAAGTTATGATTGAATTTAATACAAAAAAAAACAAGCGCAGCCCCTTGGATTTTCTAGCCCAGTCATTTGTATAGCACAGTATGTGTATCCACAAAGATGATACAATAAATGCCTCCTAAAATATCAGTTTGAAATATCACTCAGATCTACTTATCTGTGCAATGCTGATAATTTTTTTAAGCAATTATCTGCAGATAAAAGATGTGATTTCGATATCATTATGGATCCCTAGTATTAAAATTGTTACACCGTTGAGGCCGTACACATCTAACATGACGCAAACAAACGACATGAAAATGCAAAATATTCTATTTTATATACTATGTACTGTTTTTTTCCGAAACTATACACACCAGAGTTTGCACTTTAAAAATGCTATTTTCTTCATTTATTTATTATTTTTCCCACTGAGCTTGTGCAAGAAAAAAAAACAATAAT